TCTCAACCTCTTAGATTAATTACATATCTCCTAGATCGATTCTTAATCTGAAATCTTCTCTGGTCTGGTCTTAATCGGATTTAATGGTGGATTCTCTGTTTCCGACAATCGAAACCACAGGTGACGACGAAGCGTCACCGGAATCAAGACGGAAGAAACGGAGGATATCGGAGACGACGACGACGACGGAGAAATCAGAGATAGAAGCTCAACGTATCCACGAAGAAAGCTTAAAGAGATGGAGAACGAATCGTATGCAACAGATCTACACTTCCAAGCTATTCGAAGCTCTCCGTCGAGTTCGTCAGAGATCTAACGACGCCGGTAATAGAGTCACCGGAACGCCGAGAGAGATACGAGAGACGGCGGATCGAGTTCTAGCCGCGTCGGCTCGTGGTACGACTCGGTGGAGCAGAGCGATTTTAGCGAGCCGTGTACGACGAGCAAAGAAACAGAGGAAACCGAAGTTAACCGGAGATTATAAACTGAGAAAAGCCACGACGACGACGGAGACGAGACGGATTAGAGTACCGGCGGTTGAGAGAAAACTGAAGATTCTTTGCCGGTTAGTTCCCGGTTGCAGGAAAGTCTCTGTACCGAACCTTTTAGATGAAGTGACCGATTACATCGCGGCTCTACAGATGCAGGTTCGAGCCATGGAAGCTGTCGCCGAGCTTCTAGCCACCGCCGCACCACGGACGACGTTGAACGGTCCTTAACGGCGCCAGTTAGATTGTCAGTTTAAAATTAGATTTTTGTTTACCTTTTTACCCCTTTGTTTGGCTTTTGTTTGTTTTTGTTAATTTATTAATTTCATGTATTTTATTTGTAAACACCACTTTTAAAATTTGTGTCCATTTTGATCTTTTTTGTTTTTTTTCTTTAGAGGAATCGAATTAATCCAAAAAAAAGGGGAACTAATCTCTATTCCGGAAAATGTTTATAAACAACATAAACCCTTAAAAAGATAATTATTGTACCTACAAAAGAAAAAGATAAGTAAAGAATAAAAAGTTTTAATTAAGTGCAACTTGAAGCAATTCAAAAATAAAAAGAGAGAGAGCATGTGCGTTTGTGTAGATGGCCTAACGTGTGAAGAACACCCACCTTAATTTTGGGGCCAATGGACTCCATGTGATTCTCTATATGACTTTTTCGACGTTGAAATTTATGCCACTATTGATATAAAAAAAAAAAAGTGTGGATTTTGCTCATAATGCCTCCAAATAATTACTTTCATTACGTAGTTGGAAGTCAATATTAACAATATTTCACAAAACCCTTTTGAAGAATTTAGTAGAATTTGACATTTATATATTGATTATGGTATAAATACAAGTTTTAGTGTGAGTAAGTTGTCAGAATAAATCCACTAGCTAGGTCTACTAGGAGTAAGGTTGAAAGAAGAAGTGTGAAGAAGCAAAAGGACCACAAAATTGACACCAAAAGAAGTGGAAACAAATAGATTGAGAAACGAGTCTGGAGGAACATCTTTCTTCCCTCTTTAAGACTCCCCACGTGTGCTACTTCTTTTTACAACCCAATATGTCTTTCTTTTATCATTCATACCTTTTTTTTTATCAAATAAATTGGCAACATGTTTGTGGGTCATTTGTGTTTAATATCTAATTTTGTTGACACCGGATCAAATGTAGCTAGTTCGAAGACAAACATATTCTTTAAAAGAAGTTTCTAAACACCTTGAATGGTTTTTGAACATAGATGAAACTAAAAAAATTCGGAATTTATGGTTGTGTTGCAATAATATTCATTTGTCAATTACGATATTTCTTCCAAATTTTATCCATCGACATTTGTATCTTTATTTTTAATTTTTGATACGGCTGACATAATTTATATACTGCTATTAATGTATTCACATGATATGGTTTCGCTAAGAGAAGTGAAATTAATAAATGTGTGAAGAAAAAAGTAATATATAAATGCATCGAATGATAGCTACAAAACAAAACAAAAAAGAGAAAGGAGAAAACGTGGAGTTGGCCATATGTGGCTAAAGGGGTAGACCCAATGTGATCACATGCAACCATGTGACTCCAATTATCAACCTCATATGTGAATGTGGCCTAGGAGATGCCAAATTTTAAGTATCAATTTCTCCTTTTCTTCTCCTTCTTTGTACAACGCTATTGACAAACAATAACAAACCAAAATTTATCCTATCCCTTGAAAATAAGAAATCATAATTATCATCTCAATCACCTCGTTTTCACTACTAATTTCACTAACACTAGAGATAATGCAATGACAGATTCTTTGTAGATTTAAACCCAGATGGTAATATATTGCTAAATTTTATAGAAAAATATTAAAGAGTAAAAAAATGGGAATTTTACTAAATTGATTCATATTGAAATTGGTTTTGTCCCAATAACCTTTGCCTTTCTTTACCAACTTATTCCTATATTACTTTTTGATTAATATTAGAAAATACAAAAAATAGTTTTTATAATTTTATAAAATCAGAAAAATAGAAAAGAGTAATGTACAAAACATATGGATTCATGTTTATATTTTTTTTCAAAACAAATTATGACAGAAAATTATTTATTTTTCTTTCTGTCATGGTCGAATCTACTAGTAGATTATGTGTTCTACGAATTTGTATCATTCTACGAGTGGTAGAAGAAAGTATTCTACTAATTGCACAAGTTCAACATATTGCAAATTGCACATTCCACCATTTTGCTTCAAACTACCAGTTGCAAAATGCTATTTCTACCAATGACTTTGTCTTCTACGACACGCAGAATGCATATTCTACCATTTCTATCTACCTCTTTCTCTATATTCTACCAAATGGTAGAAAGTCTATTCTACAAAAGGTACTTTAAATCCCCTAAATCTAGGACCATTAGTTATTTACTTTCCAAAAAATGTTTTATTCGGTATTTACTTTACAAAAACGTAGATTTTTCCGTCAAAAACATTTTTGATTTTTTTTTGTCAAATGTTTTTGAAGTGTTTTTGGAAAAAACACATTTTCATTTTTTTGAATATAATAGAAAACCTATATGAATATAATGTTTTAGTTTGCTTCATTGTTCGATTAAACACCCACAGCTCACTTGGTTCGAAAACACATATACCTAGATATGAGGTCACGAGTTTGATATCACATGGTAACACAATTTTGCATTTTTTCGAATCCTACAATTTTTTGATTAAAAACGGAAAACCTATATGAATATATTGCTTTCGTTTGCTTCATTGATCGTGATATAATGCGTTTTTGGCGCATTCTAACCCTTATTTTGTAGGCTTTTATCGAGTCTTTCACTCTCTATCGAGTCATTCTAGGTACAAAAAGTGGCTGGAAGCAATGACTGGAACTTGCAATCGGATTTGGCTAGAAAGGAATGAAGTTGGACCCTTTTTGAACATTCTGGAGAAAGGGAGCACCTAGTACAAAAGAGGGAGCACCTGCTCCCAGCAGAGTCATTAATGGGCTTTTTGCAAAACCTTAATTTTGCATCCCTAATTTTGGGCCAGCCGCCGTGGACCTTTAAATATGTTTTTCTCTGGATCTTTTGAAAGGGGGATGCCACACACATCACGAAGGACAGCAGC